ATAATAATAATAAGAATAATAATAACATTATTAGCACATCCTCCACGGGAGTGAAGGACGATGCGAGTGATATTGAAATGAAACGGATGTGTGAACTGCAGCGGCTGCTGCGACTGGAACGATATATGCGATTGGCGGCGGAGCGGCGAATGATGGAAGAAAGTGAAAAAGGCACGCGGGCCGCTATCATTATTGAAGCAAACTACGGTGCACGTCTACTGCACTCCATATTTCTAGAAGCTATCGAATCACTTTCAACAACAACAACAAATAATGATAATAATAATAATAATAATACATGGGATAGGGTTAGAGATACGACGGATGTTCACAATCGTGTTTCTCCGCGGCGACGACCGCCACAACTGTTGGCCCCGGCCCGAGATGTCGACGAGACCACAACTTCTGTGGAAACAACAACACCGACGGCGAGTTACGAGAATTTGTTGGAGGAGAACACCGCCCTGCGGGAGGAGTTGGAGCGGTGTAAATCCATCGAGACCGCAGATCGACTGGAGATGAATGAACTCTACAGGAATATGCGAACATTGATTGAGCAGCTCACGCGTGAGAGAAATGCCCTGCAGGCGGAACTCACATACTGGAAAACACAACGTGTGGATCTCGCGCGTAATATAGACAGTGGAGGGAGAATCATCCCATTACAATCACCTTTACAATCATCATTACAACAACAACCATGGCATTATGTGCATCTTGTAGAGGCAACACCATCAAACACAGAGGAATTGCCTGAATCCGCATACCGTAGACGGGTGCTGCCAATCTCCTAAAGAAGAAGAAGAAGAAGAAAAAAGATGGATGAAATATATATAAAGAAGAAGGATTGGCTTGTTGAGAGGGCATGTATACTATTGGAATAATTATATATATATTTATTTATAGAGAGGAAGGGAGAGAATGAGAAAAGAGTTATTGACTATCATTTTTAAACAATGATGATAGACGAGAAGGACAGAACCCCAACAAACAACAAGAACGAAAAGAAGAAAAAAACGTAGAAAAAAAAAAAAAAAAACACGTTGAATACATTATTACATGGTGTTGTTTCCTGCAGTTGTGGCAATTTAGATATGATACAATTCCAAAAAGAAGAAAAAAGAAAAAAAATATATAATTTGGTTATCTGTATTGACATATATTTGATATTCATAGATTTATATACAGACATATATATATTCTCCTTTTTTCGTTTGGTTTTTCTCTTCTCTTCAGTAGTGTCCTCCCCCTCCTCTCCTCTCTACTTTAAGGGGGAGTGAATGTCTCAACAAGAACAACAATGTCAACGTTCTCTCTCGCTGCAGTGTTGGGATGCATGTTTACATTATGAACTTGCACGTGCTGAGATATGGAGTCAATTAAAGAATAGTGATTTATTTGAAAATGACTGGATGTCTGGGGATACATTACTTTCCATTGAGGATAAAACATGTATGATGGCACTACATCATATTGCATTTGATTCTCTAGGGTTCACGAGTGAAGTAAATATTAGAAATTTCTTACAAGACTTTAAAAAGAAAAAGAATAAACACTTTACGGATATGAAGGATGATCGTATTTCTATGGATATGTTTATATCCCTTTTGGAATCTGTTAAACTTGTGAGTAATGCTGTGAATATACTTCACACATTATGGGGAACATTACTGCAAATGGAAGAGCTTCTTGTTAAGTGTATAATAGATGAAAGTAATACTCGTACGGCTTTGGAAGTGAAACAGCGGGAATTAAGAGAAGAACTCTTCTCATTTGCACGACAATGGGAATATGCAGAGAGATTACAAGAGCAATTAGAACAACGTGTATATTTATCTACTTTACACACCGTAGCTACAAGAGAAGGAAGAAGAAGAGGATGTATAGATAATGATGATAATAATGATAATAATAATGATAATAATGCTATTGCAGTGGATCGTAGGAAGATATCACGAATACGAGAGGCATTACATCCCGATGGAGAAAAACAACAGCAGTTAACACAACAGACTTTACAAATAAAACGTTTATCGCATTTATGTGAACAACTGGAGATCCTGCATGAGGAACTGCATGTAGCCCAGATGTATGAGACACTCTCACTAGAGCAAATACGCCGTGAAGAGTTCAATCAATTTGTACAGTTGTGTAAAGAAGAATCTAAGAAACTACAGTATGATGATCAGTTATCTCGTATGGAGCAGCAACTTGGAATTATTGGTCGCTTTGTAATTGGTCTTTCCGTATCTACATTAGGCAGAAAGGGACATGATGCTATTCTTCAACAAATGCGTAATCAAAAAACTGCAGATATATCTATAGCCAATACAGATATTCATATTTCTAGTGATCCTAACAATCATTCAATAACGAATGATTTTACATGGCTTGTGAAGTGTGATACTGATGATAATAGTCATTATTGTGTTTCTTCTATCATTACAACATCTCAACCATTTTCATTACTGCAACAACAATGTGTGTTGGATCCATCTTGCTATAAAAGTTTAGATACAGTTGAAGTTTCTACACATCATGAGGGAAATGTGTTTAATACTCCCATGAGGAATGTGGAGGAGGAAGACAGTACTGTAGAGAAGGCATTGCATCGTACATTTGATTCTTTAGTGCGTCTTAATCATATGGAGTTATCGGATGTATTTCAGAGAATTTCTAATCAACAAGAAGAAGAAAAAGAAAAAGAAAAATTAAAGGAATCCTCTCAATATGAAAAAGTATCAATCCCCAATGATGTTGTGTTATTTCCCTCTTTTCTTATCTTTATTACCTGCTGTGATCTGCATGTGATTGGATCCCCCGCACTTGCCTTTGCAAGACACTGTCGTCCTTGTATAGATCCCAATTTTGCTGAAAAGATGAAATCTCATCATTCATATCAGGGAAATGAGTGGATTGCAGACCAGGCAATGAATTATAATGACTTTTGTGCATTTCTTATGGATCAGGCATCTCTTGAGTACGTGCGGGATGCATTTCTCTTTACTCCAAATGCATTACTTAAACGTATAGTGATAAACATTATTATACCGAAATGGTTAAATGAAGTGAAAGCTCAAACAGTAACAAATAAAAAGGATAATTTAGGAGAAATGAATTCATTAAATTCTTCAACAATGAAACTACACTGCAGTAATGACTTGTGTGTACTTCTTGATACTGCAGTATCATGGCTACAAATGAATATGTGTACAGTAAAGGACTTTGCATTAGCGTACAAGAAGTATGTTCTTGAGTACAAGTGCAGTATAAAGCCAGACGAGGGGCGATGTAGTTTTACAACAACTCCAGTCCTTTTGGCACTCTTATTTCCATCATCATTGTCATCATCATTACTATTATTATTAGGTGTAGAAGAGTCAACAAAAAAGAGAATAGAAGGTATGCATATAAACTGTGATATCTCTCGATTGGAGGTATTGCGACGTTCTTGTGGTCATGCCTTTTTAGAGGCGAGTCAAATAGTGAGTGATGATGGTAGTTTAGATGGTGTAACGGCATGGTTGAGTGTTGGGGTTACTAGTATCAATCGAGATAAACTTATGCAACGTGTTTCAGCTGCGATTAAGGATATTCTCTGTTTTAACTTTGAAGAGGGTATTTATTATGATAATGATTTATTACCAAATGGTGAGGGGGACATTATTTCTTATCATACACCTATTTCATGGATATTGTTGCTTGCTGTGTGCGTAAAGCTCTCATTTGATGATAGTGTTTCTGTTGGTAAACTGGATGAACTTTTTGGCCTTCTCATTGTATCATAATAAATGGTGGGTGAGATATTTAGTGAGATGGATATATAGATATAGATATAGTTATAGTGTGAGTGTGAGTATGAGTATATATACATATATTAACGTTTCTCTTTGGTACCCTTTTTTCTTGCTTATTTCTCTTTAATATTGAAGATCATTTCAAATTTTGAGCTTTTACGTATGATACTGTTTGTGATTGTGTTAATTATTACTAATTATGTTCTTGTTTTTTATTTTATTTCTTGCATTATTTTTTTTTTTTCATATAATCCTTTCTCTCCTCTTTTCTCCCTTCTCTTTTCTTTTTTTCTATCTATCTTGAGGCTCAGTCACTTGGGCGTGAGTCATCACTTTGGGTGCCCACATCTAAGAACTACTTACTATAGTAGGATTTAGGGTTTATTTCCCTTTATCATTTCTGTTTTTATTTCTTTTTTCTATTCTCATTATTATTATTATTATTATTATTATTATTATTATTATTATTATTATTATTATTATTATTATTATTATTATTTGGTTACGTTTATCATTATTATTATTTTTGGACAATAAACGAAAGATAACCAGAAAATATAGGAAACAGACATTTCTTTCTGACTGTCTGTCTCTCTCTTTCTCGGATTGTTTTATTGTACTTCTTAGTGCGAGGTAGATCCCACTGATATGGAACATCAAACAACGGCAATAGGCAACACCGCAGCTGCGGGCCAAGAGAACTTCAATGGGAACAGTGGACGCACGCACCACCCATACGGGAGATGTTATAACAGTAATGGCAGAAGCAATAGCAACGATCATGATAATAACATGAACAACAATAACAACAACAATATCAACAATTATTACGGAAACTGCAATAGCAATACTACTAATAATAATACTAATAATACTAATACTAATAATAATAATAATACTTATAATAACCATGAAAACGGTAATCAACGTTTTGCATCTAGTCCAATGCTGGTGGCCCCACGTCCATCCCACAATGGAGAGGAAGAGGGGATTGTAACATCACCTGTGAATGTGCAAGCGCGTTACCGTCTACACAGTCCAACACTCAGCTGCCGCACCGGCGATGGATTTCTCTCTACATCTCCCTGTGATAACACCCTGCGTTCTCCACCGCCTGTGTGGAGTGCGGGTAGTTCCTACCACGGGGACCTGGCGCAGAATCGGTTCATGCCGACTGTTGCCTCTAGCGCCCCGAGTGGCGTCTCCTTCGATAATAGTTTGACCAACCGGGCGGTGATGCCGTATCCCGTTAGTTACGCCCCGTCCAACTTCACCATGCCGCCCGTTCTCACCGGCAACATGCCGCCCGCCCGCCGCGAGAACCCCGAACGCTCCCCGTTGGGCGACAACTATTTGGAGGCCCCACACCCGTACACACGCATAGGATCACCCCCCGCTGCGAATGGACTATCCGTAGGGAATAATGGCTACACATCCCCCATACTACTTCCAAGTACACCTCCATACAGTGGTGATTTCAATCCCATGCGAAGTCCTAATGGAAATGCACAACGGCGTGGTAGTGGAAAAGGAACTCTGCCGACAAGTACACCTTCTACACTCGAGAGATCACACCCACGACAGTCAAAGTTCACTGCTGTAGGAACTCTTGCAGAGGAAAGTTCTATAGTTTCTGGGAGTAGTGCAAGTTCTATACGAGATGATTTGGAGCTCTGTCCAGATGATGGTCTTTGTACACTTATCAATGACAGAAAACACCAGCGGAAATATGCACACACGTGTCGACTATTCCCATGTTATCACGGTCATGTTGTTCGACATGCGAAATTATTCCGTCACGCACCCGGTCAAATTGCCCAGGCGGAAGGACTCTCCAGCGATAAGGGAAAACGGAAGAAATTTCCAGCAGAGGCACTTGCAAGTGTTAACTTCAGTTCCATCAGTCCTGAGGCATCTAACGCCTACCGTGTGATTGTAAGCCACGGTGATAAGAGCTATGAAATATTTGGTGACTGGCAGAGTGTACGCGTGCACACGTTTAAACGCTACCTACATCAGGTGTTTAAAATACCACCAGCATCGCAGGTACTTGTGCGTGTGGAGGGGGCCGTGCAGTTGGACAATGAATTACAATGTGTAAGTCAATATGATGTACGCCCTGACACTGTCATTACCTTGCGGCGAAAGGAGGACGATGATGAACGACCACGTGTGCCAATTGAGGATTTATAATATGATCGAGTGGGTACAAAAAAAGAAAGAAAGAAAGAGGGAGAAAGTGGTGGTTATTGTTATTGTAACTGTTATTGCTATTGTAATTGATATGACTAGGCAAAAAAAAAAAGGAGAAGGAATAGGAAAAATGAGTATTGGGTAATAAGAGTCTGGAGTGTTTTTCCTTGTACGTATCAGAATGCCTATATATGAAGTGAGAAAAAATAATTAGAGAATAAAACATCAATAATAAGAAAAGAAGAAGAAATTTTTTTTTTAAAAAAAAGGGAAAAAGAACAACAACAAAAACAAAAAAAAAAGAAAAAAAAACGTTAATAAAGCATACAATTCGACAAAATATATGAATGGGGTTAATAAAGAGAAAAAGAAAGAGAAAGAGCGAAAAGAAAAAAAGGAAAACGAGTGGGAATTTATGCATGTATGTGTGTGTTTTCTGTGTATGTGCTTACTTTACACATGGAAAAGTGGCTGGCGAGTGGAGTCTTTGCAGTGTGAGTAGAAAGAAGTAGACCACGACAGTCGGAAATGGAAGAAACAAAAAAAAAAAAAAAGAGAAGCACTGAAACACACACAGAAATATATATATATACATACATACATACACAGAGAATGAGAAATGAAAAAAAAATAACAAAATAAAAAGTTTTCTGAGGTCAATTGAAAGATTGTGTGCTAAATATTTGCAGCTTTAACACTTATTCATCTACAAGGTAAAGACAGGAAGAAACAAAACAACAACAACAACAACAAAAAAAAAAAAAACGGGTGCAGAGGAACGCTTAAATCATTCGAGTGGAGCAAAATAAATAAAAAAACGAATTATATAAAGAAAGAGATATGCCTTCTCCTTTTGTTCCTATTCTAAAATGCATGCACGCATATATTCAATTGAGAAATGTTTATCACATATATGGCTCTCTCTTTTTTTTTTTTATGTGTTGAGTATATATGTTTATTTATGTGTTCTTCCTTTGTTTATTCGTATATGCATGAGTCTTTGGTTTTTCATTCCTTGGTTTCCGGTATCCATTAACTCCTTACTAGGTGATCGGGACTTTCTCTTGTGAAATACCAAGAACGAAAAAAAAGATGAAAAAAGAGAGGGATAAAAAAAAAAAAAAAAAAAAAAAAAAAAAAAAAAAAAAAAAAAAACAGCAGAAAATACATAGGGGGTATATAATCAGATCGAAACCAAAACACAACAGGAGTTGGTTTTGATCCTCTTAAAAGAAGAGAAATTATCGAAATCATTAAATCCTGAAGAAATGTGTATCAATGAGAGAAGAATCTTTGGTTTTTATTTTGCTTTTCTTGTACTTGGGACCCTTTACGTGAATACACATATAAAGAATGTGAGAGATTTGAATAACGCATGTTGTGCTTGCATGAGTTGGTTTCTCTATCTATGTTTTCATGCTGTGTTAAAGCAAAAAATAAATAAATAATAAAGCTTTATCATTGTGCGCAAAAAAGAACAGAGGGAAACAGTGATGACTCTGCGGTGGATTGAAGATAGGATGCGTTAATTTTCCGAGGTTCTTTTGTTTCTTCTGTACTTATGCACTTAACCTATTATTATTATTATTATTATTATTATTATTATTATTATTATTATTATTATTTTAATTTTTCATCGTTTTTTTTTTTTTTTTTATTATTTTTTTTTTTTTTTTTTTGTTTGCGATTTCGAGAGTTTTTTCTTTTGTTTTAATTTACAGCTCAGTGGCATTTTTCATTTATTATTGCTTCCCCTGTTTCTTCTTTTCCCCCTTGGTGGTATTTAATGCCAATAATCTACTTTGGTTAACTATATACACCCTTCTGTTTTTTTTTTTTCTTTCTTGAGTCCCTTCTCTTTTTTATGTTACTTTTTTTTATTTTTCTCAGTTTTCAACATTCTTTTTTTTTTTGAAGTTGAGGTGCTTGAGTTTTTCTTCATCTGTGCCATCTTTTGCAGACGCACAAACACACAAAAAGTCTCTCTTTCTTTCTTTCTCCCTCCCCCTCTCTTTCTCTTTATTGCTTTTGCTCTTCCTTTATCTACTGTACGTAAATCTGTATCTCATCTTGTTTTCATTTTCTCCACTTTTTGTTTGTTTTTTCTCCTCATTGGACTGCAGGGGTGAAACCAGCACCTCTCCCTCTATTCGCTGGGCGGCCTCTGAACATATTCCGCTTTTCACGCACTGCAATTCACATTCGCCTCTAATCATCGCTTGCTGCATGCCTCTCTGGGAGGACCTGCGAGAACACTTCCGCGGCCGTGTGTGCATACCCGGTGTCGTCTACAGTGAAGAGTTGCGTGTGAGCCAACGTGAGGGCATACGCAACGCCGAAATTCCACAAACGGCAGAATCGACTGCATGGCGCGGCGGGCTCCGCAATGTTCGCATGTCAACAGCCCCTGCGCTGCTGTTGCGATCGGCGGCGTCGGCGGCGGACGTGGAGGGGCCAGCGACGGTGCCGTACACATTCGCTGAACGTGTTGGAATCGTGCCGGTCCATCCCGCGCGTGTGCGGCCGCGGCCGTATTATCATCCCACGACGGACTTTGGCCTCTACGACTATGATGAGATATCGCCGGAGGAGAAGGCCCTCACCGCGCGTTGGATGGCAAAGGTGTTTGAGTTCAACAGCGCCGTCCCACTGGGCGTGCTCTGCGCTACCGGGTGTATTGTGCTCCCACTCCACAGTGTGTACCGCATGCCGCTGCTCGTCGCCGCCGGGGCTACGGGCGTCGTTGCGGAGATCACACGGGCGTACATGTCCGCCGCACCTGAACGGCAGGATTTGGATGACTTCATCCTCGCAAAAGAAATTTGGTATATCAAAAATGTTGAGACATATCAGTTAGACATCCCACGCATCCCAAAGGGGCGTGAGGCGGAGTACCATGCTTACTTGGATGGCTCCATTTCGACAGTCCAACAGTTGCCAGATGAACTGGTGGATGCTCTTCACTAATGGAAGAAGTAAAACTGAAAGTGAAAAGTGAATGTGAAGGGATCAAAAAAAAAAAATAAAAAAAAGAAAATAAAAAGGAAAAGAAAAAGAAAGGATAATATGAGGAATAAAGTTGAACAATGGAAAGAAGTTCAATGTGACGCTATGAGTAGTATTTTCCCTATGCATATTTTTTTCTTTCTTTGTCTCTCTCTCTCTCTCTCTGTATGTGTGTGTTTGTGTTTGTCGTATTGTATTGTAGTTGTTGTGATTGATGTCTTATTTTATTTTTTGTTTGTGGGACGTGTCTGTCTGTCTGTGTGTTCTTTCCCTTTGTAATGAATTTACCCACATCTTTTATTCTGATATTTCTTTTTCCTATATATATATATATATATATATCTTTGTGTGTTTATTATTATTATTATTATTATTATTGTTCCTTTATCTTTTCTTTCTGTTTCTATTTTTTTTTGTTTTTTTAGTGGCGTGAAGTCATGAAAAATGCTTCTTCTTCTTCTTATCATTTCTGCGGAGCGAAGTTAATGCCATGGCATAAAATTGATGTGACTGTGGTGATGCACCTCGCAGTGGTGGTGATGTGTGGCTCCTTCAATCCTATGCACGTTGCACACATTGCAATGTACGAAGCAGCCTGTGATACTCTTCTGAATAAGAAGTATAATGATAATTCTGAGAAGAAAGAAGCATCAGTATCAAGAAAAAATGATTCAAAGATAGTAGTAGTGGGTGGATTTGTTTCTCCGGTGAATGATCACTACAAAAAAGAAGAACTTCGTCCTTTTGCTCAGCGTTCAGCTATATGTGCGGCTTCACTCCGAGAACATCCATCTCTTGCGCTTGATGAGTGGGAAGGTCTTCAACCGAACTATGTGCGAACATTCTATGTACTGGAGCATCTGCAAGAGTCTGTACAGAGATGGTATGAGACGGATGCTAGTCCAAACGAGGAACAACTGGCGTGGGTGCGCCAACATCCTGTGCGTGTTGTCTTTCTTTGCGGAGGTGATCTCTTCTCTTCTTTTCTACGTCCCGGCTGTTGGCCGTTGGAACTTCTACGGAAACTTCTTGACAGTTTTGACGTCCTCGTTGTGAGACGTGCGGGATCAGCGGGTTGTGCGGAGATGATGCGGCAGCAGAAGAATGGATCTGTGCTGTGCGAGTCTGTGGGAGAGGCGGACACCGACAATACTACCATCAACAGCAACAACAACAACAACAATAATAATAATAATAAGGTGCTTTCACTTGATTTAGTGGCATACCATTTCTTAGAGGCTGAAATATTTGCGAATACCATCTCTTCATCTATGATACGAGAGATTCTAATGGATAATCCTAATGCAGATTTACGTGGTCTTGTTGTTGAAGGAGCTGAAACTCTTGTTCGTGCGTACTACACTGATGGCACTCTTTAGTATTCGTTTAATACGTCTTTTATTTATTTATTTAGTCGAAATTTATAGATGTCTTTAGAGTATCTCTTTACCTTTTTTTCTTTAGGTGTTTTTTATTGCTGCTCTTCTTTATTTTTGAGCTCAACCCTTTTTTTTTGTTTGTTTGCACCCTTGGAACTTTTCCTTATCTGGAAATCATTAATAGTAGCCATCGAATTCCATTCAAAACTCTGGGCATATTAAACTGAGACCGATGGAATGTGGAGTTAAAGATTAAAGACCAGTACTTTTTTTTTTCCTGTGTTGTTTTGTTTTGTACACAGATATATCTTTATATGTGAAGGTCTTTAGTCATCAATAAATAAATAAATTTATTTTGTATAAAGATGGCAAATAAACAGAGAAAGAACCCACAGGGTCAAACGAATCCTCTCTTGCTATATGTGGTATTCACGTTTATCTTTTGCTCTTTGATTGCTCTGCTGCTGGTGCTGCGGTGGCACCCCACTGAAGTGGAGGAACACTCTCTTGAGGAAAATGAGGTGGAAGAGAAGTACACCAGGGATTTTTTTGCTTCTGCAGGCAACTTCCGATGCCCGCAGGAGGTTTACTTTAGTCAAGAAGAAGTTAGGCGTCATGCGAGTGAAGCTGATCTTTGGATTGTCATTAATAAGAATGTTTTAGATGTTAGTTCGTTTGTGCCGAAGCACCCTGGTGGTTTATTAATTATGGAAGGAGCTCGTCTCCCTGATGCTGCGGACCTCTTTGCGCAGAATCATGGACCTTCTGTTGTGCGGCAGCTTGAAAAGTTCTGCATTGGGAGATTAAAGGAGTAGTTATTGAAGGGTATGGGGTTAGAATTGTAGTTTTTTTTATTTTTATTTTTTCCTTTTCTTTCCTTTCTGTGTCCTTTTTATTCTTTTTTTTACCCTTCCTGCTGTTCCCACTCTTTCCCACCCTTTCTCTCTCATTCTCTCTATCTATCTCTATCTTTTCTCCATCTATATATCCCCATTACACTTTTCTCTCTCTCATTCTCTCTCTCTCTCTCTCTCTCTCATTCTCTCTCAGTCTAGTAGTGTGTGTTTATGCCTGCGATGCGCTCTGAGAGGAGTACCGCTGCTGCGTGGGCCAACGCCGCCCGCATCGGCTGTTGTTTTCCCGCCCGCCAACACCACCCGCCCACCGCAGAGGCCGCCGCGGCCATCGTGCGGGATATTCGCGCGGCGGGCGGCCGTCTGCGAGTTGCTGGCGCCGGCCGCAGTCCCAACGCCTGCGTCTACACCAACGGCCACATCCTCCACACCGACCGCCTCAACCGCATTATTCGCGTAGACAAAGAGCGCCAGCAGATCGTCTGCGAAGGGGGCGTACTTCTCGCTGATGTGTTCAACACACTCGACGCCAACGGCCTCATGCTGCGCTGCGTTCCCTCTGTCGTCAACACCACCGTCGCGGGGGTTATCGCAACAGCGACGCACGGCAGCGGCCACCGCACGCGGTCGCTCTCTGACTGCGTCGTCAGTCTTACACTCATAGACGGCACAGGTACATTCCGCACATTCGGTGCACCGGAGAATGAAATACCAGAAGGAACTGACACCAACAACACCACTACCACAAACAGTAAATCAACAACAACAGCACACGAATTATCACTCGTCGCATGTCATTTAGGCATGATGGGTGTTGTTGTGCGTGTGACACTGCAAGCAGAACCACGGCGTACGTGGCGGCTGCAAAGCGCACCGGTGCACGTGCAAGATCTCACAAAGGGTGATACACTTGAAAAACGTATCTCTGGTTCAGAGTTTTACCGCTTTTTTTGGATGCCCAATACTGAGTTGTGCTATGAATCTATCGGAGATTTTATGGATTGTAATGATGATGCAGAAAAAGGTACAGGTGTTGCAAAAACAACACCAAAAGTAGCAACAACAAAAACAAAAACAATAGTAGCAGGTCCGATAAGAGAAGGGTCAGTGGAATCATTACATGAATTACCAAAGAGAACATTAGAACGAATGCAGGCACCAAGTCAACATGTGGTTGGGAAAAAACAAGATGCAGATTCTCAGAAGGAAAAGAAGCAGAAAAAGCAGCTTCGTGTGCAGATTTCTGATCTTTTAAAAGGAAATTGGCTACGTCATGGTGTTTTGGAAGCAGCACTTGCTGCTGCAACTTTTTATCCAGGAATGCAACCATACATTAATCGGGCCTATCGGAAACTTTATTATGCTACACCTACTGTTCAGTATGGAAACTCTGTAGAATGTTTTACTTTTGACTGTCTTTTTAAACAATGGGCTTGTGAATGGGCAATTGATGCACGTGATACCCTTAAAGCATTTAAAATGGTTCGAGACCTTATCAGTAGAGAAAAATTAAAGGTACACTTCCCTGTTGAATTCCGATTTACTGATGCTGATCAAACAGCTATGTCTCCTGCATATGGACGAAAGACGTGTTGGATTGGTATTGTTATGTACCGTCCATATTTATTACTCGCACCTGACACAATGCGATATTATCAAGCCTTTAGTGATGCGATGACAGCAATGGGTGGTAGACCACATTGGGCAAAATATTATACTTGGGGTCCAGAACAGTTGAAACGAGCATATGGAAAGAACTGGGAGGATTTTCTGGAGCTACACAAGAGACTTGATCCGGATGGTATTTTTGTGAATGGTTGGTGGAAAAGTTTAAGTGGTCAAGGGCCCCTGATCAATAGCACCACCAGTCATTTGTAGCTGCAATATTAGCAGCTGGAAAAGGAATTTTTTCTTTTGTTGCTTTTTATTGTCTTTACTGGATATATGTCTTTGTAGGCGGTGGTAAAACTCTTTTAAGATTCAATATTCCTGTGTGAAAATACATTTTTTTTCTTTTAACTTTTTGCTTTTTTTTTTTTTAAACTGTAAATGTTGTATTCTCACTTTTTTTTTTTGTTGTTGTGTTTTCTTTTACATATATTCGTATGGGTTTATATGTCTGTAAGTTACAGAGTGTAGAAGAAAGAAGGATGATGGAGTAGGGATATTTCTGTGTGAATACGCTTTTCTTTCTTGGTTTGTTTTTTCTCTTGATGGTTGGTGCGAGATACGAGAGAAAGAAAGGAAAAAAAAAAAAAACGTGCAATAACATAAAATAAAGAATAAAATAAAAAAAAAATAAAAAGAATTGAGTAAATAAGATTCCACACCCAATACAACTACTTTTATTTGTTTGGTAACAAGAGAAGAGTAATTAATTAAGTGGAAGCAACAACAATAAAAAAAAAAGAAAAACACATTATTCCAAACAAATACGTGGATCTTTTTTATTTATCAATCAATAGAAAAATGAAATATGCATTTTTTTTTTAATGAAAAGTTCTTTGAAACATGTTACATATTTCTCTCTGTCTGTCTGTCTGTGCATAATATTGTTTCTGGTTATATATATCTCTTTTTTGTTTCTACTATTTTATTATTATTTTTCTTTTTAATTAATAACTCTCATAGTATTTGTACATACTAGGGACACCCTGAGAAGATGACGGAGCCTGCATTCCGCGGCACACTACTGTTGCTGCAGAACCGCACCCGGCGTGATCCTGAGGCCTATCGAGATGAGTTTCTCGCCCAGCTTGACCACTTCAAGGCTCTGAGTAAAACCATCATGACACAACAACAAACAAGTAATCCTCAGTACATTGCGGTATTAAACTATGTCTGTCATGTTGGACACTGCTTCCCGGTGGAGTGTGCGGAGGTAGCGGATATTGTGGTGCAGCTGCTGCAGGACTACAAGGGTGCGGCCATGTCCTCTGAGTTGCGTCTCGCACTTGTGAAGTGTCTCGCGTTGATGCGGTCTAAAAATATTGTCTCTGCAGAACGTTCCTTTCCACTTCTTTTTCAACTTCTACAAGAGCGCGATAAAAGCCTTCGTCGTCTCATTTTGTCTCATGTTGTGAGTGATATACGGAAAGTAAATATGCCAGGAGCGAAAAATGGGGCTCAGGTTAATAAAAAAGCACAGAATTTTCTCTTTTCTGTAATGAAGGATGATGACGCCGTTCAGGCACGTTGTGCAGAAATGGTAATGATTGATTTATACCGTCGCCGTGTTTGGGCTAATGAACGTACTGTAGAAGTGATCACGCAGGCTTGTTTCTCACGTCATACCGCTATTCTACGTACAGCATTGCGATTCTTTCTACTTCAGATGCCGAAGATTGCATCCCTTGATGATGGTAATGATGATGATGAAGAAGCTGATCCCGGTCGTTCTATCTCTCGTATGAAACAAAAACTAAAGATTGTGAAAAAAACAAGTAAACGTCAGCGTATTCTTAAGCGAGAAATGAATACGGTAAAACGGAAGTATAACAAGGAAGAGAAGGAAGAAGAGCTATTGGCTAAACAACATGTGGATCCAGTACGACTTCTACGTGATCCACAGCAATTTGTTGAACGTTTACTCGCTCGTCTGCAAAAAACCACTGAACGGTTTGAAGTTCGTATATTGTTCTTAAATGTCATTGCCCGAGTGGTATCTGAACATGAGGTGGTGCATCTCCCACTCTATGGATTTCTGGAACGCTATATGGAACCTTCACAACTTCACGCTACACAACTATTGGCCCTTTCTGTCATGTGTGTACACCGTATGGTTCCACCAGATGCACTTGAACCCATTGTAAAGGCTATTGCAAATCACTTTGTATCAGATCGGGCATCACCTGACGCTATTACTGTTGGTCTTAATACAATTCGTGAGATATGTAAACGTCAACCACTTGCAATGAATGCTGACTTGTTAAAGGATTTGATAGAATACAAATCACAACGAGGAGACAGGGGTGTTATGATGGCGGCTCGAGCACTCATTCAATTATTCCGTGATGTTTACCCCGAGTTGTTACCTGCCAAACTTCGTGGTGGTCGTGCTGGACCTGCCGAAGAGAAGGAACGTCCCGTATATGGCAAACAGGAAATTTACACAGATGTCCCTGGACTAGAACTGCTTTACGCTGATATGGACGATGAGAACTCGAGGAATGACAACTCTTCTTGTTGTAGTTCTGATGATGATGATGATGACAGCGATGGTACGTGGATCACAGATAGCAGTGATTGTGACCCAGATGATGTGGATGGTAGCTTCGTTGATGCCTCAGACAGTGACAATGATGAGGCGAGTGATACTTGTCCAGAGCTTGTGCAAGTACAAGCGGATACTCCTGCTGCAGCCGAAATGAAAGAAGAAGAACCTCCATTGAAACGGACACGAGGTGAGGAGGATGCGCAAAGTGATGTTTTGAGTCTTGGAACTGGTCTAGATGATGATGATAATGATAATGGACGCCGTTCAAACGGTAGTATAGTTATCTTAGATTCCTCCCTTCCACATGACACAACCAATGAGGAAGAGGAAAGTGAAGAAGAGGGAGAAGAAGAAGAAGAGGGAGAGGAAGAAGAAGAAGAGGGAGAAGAATTAGAGGAAAGTGAAGAAGAGGAGGAAGAAGAAGAAGATGATGATGAGAATGAGAATGAGAATGATGAAGATTGGTTTGAGGACGCCGATGCCAACTCCACACGCCCATCCTTTCGCTCCACCGCATCCACGGCGGCCAACATCAGTGAAGGCGGCACTTCAACGAAGGTCTCTGCGGCCGCCATGCGCATTCTCAGCGATGAGGACTTTCAACGCATTCGCCGGCTGCAGGCACAAAACGGCAGTCATCGCTCACTGCGGGGTAAACACAAGGAGCGGGACGCACGGGAAAAGCGGCGACAGCAACTCATTCACGGCATCTCTGCAGATCTCACCGCACACGATATTGAACACTTTACAGAAAAGAAGCGTGCAGAAGATAAGGATGAAAAGATTGCACGAGCACAGGAATTGCGACAGGCAAGTTCTAAGTTTGAGGCTAGAAAGAAGAAGAAGAGCAAACTGAACTCCACACACTTGGAACATGCAAAGCGTGGTAAACTCTTTAGTATGGCTAAACGCTCACAACGTGTGGGAGCAAAACTAAAGTCATCTGTCAGTGATCGCTCGAATCGTAAGAAGGAGAACAAGAAGAAGGATATTAAGTTCCGTATCCGACGAGGATGGAAGGCCTAATGATGATATTTTTATTTTTCTTGTTGGTGTATGTATACGAAATACATATACGTACAGAATATATATATATATATATATATATATATATATATATTATCCAGTTAAGTAAGGCGCACACAACATTAAAGGTGCAGTCATTTATGTTTACGTGCTGTAAGTAAAGAGGAAAAAGAAAGAATAACGGAAATAAAAAAAAGAAAAAAAAAACATATAGTGACACGATTTTAGGGCATTCAAAAATCAAGTTTCTAGTCGTTTTTTATTGGTATTCGATGAAAATGCTTGATTTTTGTAGGTCTTTGTTTCTCTCTCTGAGTGTGTCTGTGGTTGTTTAAAAAAAAAAAAATGATAATCGCGTAATTCAATTCAACCTTTTTTTTCTTCCTTTTGATTTTATTTTTCGTTCTTTTTTTTCCACAAAGAAAAACGAATGAAATCCATATATAACTTCTTTTTTTTCTATTTTCTTCTTTTAAATATGTATTCTTTTTTTCTATGTTTTTTTATTCCCTTCTTCTTATCCATATATATATATATATATATCTGTAGATAGATATTATCAAGGACACACATATGCCTGTGTGGTCTTTTGTAGAATTGTCGAATAGTTTGCTTAGCCCAAAGACGGTGGGTGTATCACCGTTTTATTCTCCGCTGGAGGAACGCATAAGCACTGAGCCGCCACGTCTGCGAAGTGCATTATGGGATTACATGTTGTGCACAAAGCGGGCAATCAACACACGTATTATTGGTTTCTGCGAGCCAACACTGCAGCAGTGTGTGGATGATCTCGTGCTGTACACAAAAGCCTCTCCGTGGGGCGGCAGTGATGCGGATGCCCTTGCGGAGGTGTTGCGACGGCGCCGGGGTGTTGTGGATGTGGACTCGCTGCCGTGGGAGCCGCGGGCTGGATACAAAAAGTGGTTGGAGGAACAGGGAAGATTACAGAAAGACTAAGTAACTTTCTTTCTACAGAGGCGAATGTTATATTTAAAAGGCTTCTTTTTGTTGATCGTTTTTATTTCCTTTTTCAGTAGGAAAGGAGGACTTGAGAAAAAGTGACAAGGAAGGTTTTTTTGGATATGCATGTCTTTTTTTATAAAATCTCTATGCCTATGTGTGGTTGTGTTTGTGTTTGACTTTTTTTTTTCTGTGTGTACGTGTCTCATATCTCAGTCTGATTAAACTATTTGTAATGTGAAATCTATTGTTGAATAGATGAATACAAATTACTTCTTTTTCTTCTTTTTTTTTTTTTTTTTTTTTTTTTTTGGAATATATATATATATACTATTAGGTGTTATACGTTTCCTGGTGCATCCTCATATACCTGGAAATTCAAAACAAGATGAACGTTGATGAAAGACTGCCACCAATAGCTTCTGCTATGGCTTCAACATCCCCATCCACATCACCGGCGGCATTATCACGTTCATATAGTCGCTCGCGTGGTTCTACGAACAGTATTTTTCTCCCAGCTATCAATGGACTACGAGGGGAGTTCTCTCACACAAGACAAAATCGCAAGAGCCAATTATCACGCCATACCACAAGTACAACACCTATGTTTTTCCATTCAAGCACTACCTCTGGTGGTACGGTTTCTGGACTACATAGACAAACATGCCGTGATACAGATAAATATCTTTTAACGGCTGTTGCGAAAACACGTGCTATTATGCAGAAATTTGTGGGTCAACTTCAAACATATCATACATTTAACCCAACTTTTGTTAAAGGTGGTGTTTACAGTACTCAAGAGGGAGAATTGACTTTTGCTTCTTCTGCTGCATGGGATACAGTAGGAAGGTCATTAGATGCTTCTAACTCATACAGTGTTCGACATAACTTTGATGAGCATTTTACGTCTTCTTTAGAGCGTATCCCTTCTGTAAAGGAACATATCTTACTTACATTAAATAATTATACACCACCAAGTAATGAAGGTGATTCACCATCCAATGTACAACCTGTAGTATTTAATGACAGACACTCTGTTTCCTTTGATCTATGGCGTCGTGAACACCCAACAGCATCTGCGGAAGAAGTTCGAAAAGGGTTAAGATTCTGGGATATGGAACGGGCAAAATATGAACGGTTAGGACGTCAAGGAATGTTACGTCAGCAGCAGTCGGAACTTGATGAATTGAGTGCATACTCCAGAGAAAATGAAGCCACCATATCCAAATCTGTGATATCTCGTGAACAAAAACCTGTAGGAAAACTTATTGAGTTAACACCAGAACAACTTGAACAACAAGCACTCTGGGAAGTTTTTCTTTCTGGTGAACGCATATTTAAGCGAAATGCATGCGCCGTAAGAGCAGCTTCAGCAACTACAGGGGTATCAACCGTAGCCTCTAAAATTATTAATGACTACTCTAAAAGTGATGAACTTCATGAATGGGTTGAGTATGAGTGGAAGAATAATACAGATCGACATGAGGAGGCAGCTCTTCGCATTCAATGTGCATATCGTTGTCATCTTGCCAAGGTAGCAGCATCATTACGACGGTACAGACGACAACTTCGATTTTTAGAGTCACTTCGTGAAGAAGAACACGCGAAACGTTCTTGGAATACCGCACTACGTGTGGTAACAGAAGAATTACATAATGTGAATTCCAATTTTGATACCACATGGCGATCGGTAAATTTTGTTTTCTCAAAGTTTTACGCCACAGCATTAAAGCGACGAGCACAGAAAAAAGAGGAAGAAGAACGAATGCGTGAAGTACAAGAATATGCTGCCCTTACAATTCAACGTGTTTACCGTGGTCATTGTGATAGACAAGAAGCTAAGGCCGTACGTTATCCAGGGTTAATTCTATCACGGCGTCAACGTCGTCGACAAGCTGCTGCAATTATTCTACAGGCCGCATGGAGAGGACACAGAGCTCGTGTATTATTACATAAACAACTCAAGGCTGTTCTTGTCATTCAACGTCTTGTTCGATCCTCATCTGCACGAAAACAATTACGTGAACTTCGAGCAGAAAAGTATGAAGATGTGGAATATTCCACGCAACAGTTCGCGGCTAGAACTATTATGCGTGTTTTACGAAAATGTGTTTTAAGGCGACGTGAATATATGATGGAACGGTGGCCACATGTACAGACAATACGCCGAGTTGCTCGAGGCTATCAAGCTCGATTAGCATTGCAGCGGCGAAAATATCAACTTTATGTGTTATCAAAGGCCCTACAAGTGGCTTTATGGGGACAACGACATTTTCGTGGTGCCCGTGGTCGTGCTAGAGCGAAATGGGAACGTGCAAATAGGGATAAACTCCTTTATGAACGACGTTGTTTGGATGCAGCCATAGTTATTCAACGCTCATGGCGTTTATATTCAAAATTTATAAATAAAGGAATAGATAAGCAGAATAAGAATACGACTGTTGTAACCAATGCATGGGACCACAAAAGTGAACCAGTACCAGAGCATATTGCTAAACCTGCCTGTATCATTATTCAGCGCTGGTATAGAAGTATGAGGGTTCTAAGAAAGGCTATAGCTGAAAGAAATGAGAAGAGAAATCTATTACTTATACAAGAAGCTGCAGAGCGAATTCTTCGTTTCTACCGCGAGTGTAAATCACGTAAGTTATCATTGACAATTCTGCAAAAATCAGAAGTTACTGTAGATGAAATAAAACCTATATAAACTTTGAAACAATCTCTTTTGGAAAATAGAGGGTTTCTTCGATATGCTATGATGTACATCATGAAAATACAAGGATAAAAGAGAAGAAGAGAAAAACACGAAGAATGGAATCTATCTATCTATCTATATACATGTAATGTTTTTTTTTTTTTTTGTGTGTGTGATGGAATGTATTTTGCAAGAAGCAGGAACAATAAATTATTCCTCTTTCTTTTCTTTTCGGTGTTTGTTTTTTTCAATTTCTCTCTCTCTTTGCGTGTGTGTGTGTGTTTGTATGTGTTTATCATATATATCTATTTCACTTTGGTAGTCTTCTTTTATCATATGCTTGCCCTGGCATGATTGTTCAATTATGTGATGGTGTCTTCCGCACCCACACAAACACAAACACACAAAAATACAAACACACAAAAACCTAAACGCATGTATGTAAATATGTACACTTATTCTTTTTTTTCTTTTGATCTTTTAAATACATGTCTCTCTTCTTTTATGTTTATGTGGTTCTTTCTTTGCATACCTTATTGGAGTCAGTCTTGTCTAATACGCTTTTTGTTTCTCTTCCCCTTGTATGCCTGCTTTATATTAAAGGATAGGAGTATATATATATATACATATATATATATATCTGACGGACTAAGAGCAAATCTTCACCATCACTACTACTTTGTAAGAAAAAGAAAAAAGAAAGAAATGTCGCTGAGTGATACGGAACTGGACATGGCGATGGAGGTCGCACTGCGGGCGGCCCACATATCGGCGTCTGTCGTCGACCGTGCGCTTGAGGAGCATGACGGGACTCTTCTGGAGATGGGCGGGAAGAGCGACACGGACCTCTTGGTGTCGTACACCCGCGAGTGCGAGGCGGCGGTGGTGGCCGTCCTCGGCGCGGGGACGCCGGACTTCAACATTCATTTCGGCGACGAGCGGGCCGAGGGCGACGACCGCGAGTTGGACGGGGGCTTCGCGCAGGGGCGGCCGGTGTGGGTGGTGGACGCGGTCGGGGGGGCCGGCAGCTTCGCCCACGGCCTCTTCGACTGCGGCATCGCCATCGCCCTCGTCGTCGCCGGCCGGCCGGTCGTCGGGGTCGTCAGCGCCCCCCGCCTGCGGGAAGTCTTCGCGGCCGTGCGGGGAAGAGGGGCGACGTGCAACGGGCAGCGCATTCACGTCTCGCAGACACGCAGTTTGAATAAATCGCTCGTCCTGCTGCGACAGTCAAGAAATCGTAGTGAGGCCGCCGTGGAGAGCCTCATTGGAATTCAAAGCGAACTGACGAAACTTCCAGTGCACGCCGTACGAAGCTACGGCTCCACAGCACTCAATATGTGCTTCGTCGCCTCTGGACGGGCAGAATTGTACTTCGAAGTGGGAATCAACTCATGGAATATTGCAGCCGGTGCCATTATCGTACAGGAGGCCGGTGGAGTGGTGCATAATATCGATGATACCCAGACGCTCGATTTAATGTCACGCGGTGTGTGCTGCGCCAACTCACTAGAAATCTCGCAAGTAGGTGTTGAACTTAGCAAAAAATATGATTACAAACAGAATATATTAGGAATCTAAGCGAATGTATCTGTTTTGAAGAAAGAAAGAAAGAAAAAAA